ACACTATAACACGAAAATGTATCTTTGAAAAAGTATTGGTTTGAATTTCTTATACTGTTTTGGCATTTGGGATAATAGACAATATTGATCTCTTAATTTGCAAAAATTATTGTTTATTTTAAATCCTCTACCAAATACTCATTGTTTTTCATTTTATGTCACTAGCATTAGGTTACAGGCTGGGACAAAATAAGTCTGGTTTCAATACTTTACCAAACTCACAAGCAATGTCTGGGACAGATGATTACAAATGTGAACAACCTTGTTGTAGAGTATGTGGCTGTGACCACTGTGCACTTTATATCGCCTCCATTTCTATGTATATATTCCTGTGTGACGGGAGAGAGGAGGTTAGAGTGAATTGTCTCTGGTCAGTAAGTTGTTTTACTTTCATGAAATTAAGAGGATAGAAATATTATCACTATTCTATGCGAGTTTATTGGTCACAAAACTCTAGTTGTCTTTAAGGGTTGACAAATTATGGTCCGGCTGACCAAATCCTGCCTGCAACCTATTTTGTTAAAAAAAAAAAAGGGGATGGGGTCATGCCTATTCATTTATTATTGTTTATATCTGCTTTCACGATTTAGTAGCAGAGTTGAGGAGTGGACAAAAAGTACTACATAGTCCTCAAAACCTAACATATTTTCTCTCTGGTGCTTTATAGGAAAAGTTTACAAACCTCTGAGTTCTAAATTAACTGACTCCAATTTTTTTTTAAATGCAATATACTAGATTATTGAGGAAATGTCCATTCCCATTCCAGCCTTAAATGGATTATCTGGAATTATTTGATTAAATATGTTATTGGTCAAAGTTTAATTGGTATAAATTTTCCAAAAATATAGATGTGTAATTTTCCCTGATTTTTTAAATCATAGCTAGTTGATATTTTAATAGCTGTTTCTTTACTCATCCATTCCCTTCTTTTTTGCTTCATTTTGATAACAGTGATTTTTATTACAGTTATTAGGTATATATGCTTTTATTTCCTTTGTGGGTTTCTATTTCAAATAATAGTAATAATGAATTAAATGGATAACATTTTCATAGATACAAGTTAGGAAATTGTTCACCCACTTTTCGAGACAGTTCAAAAACTGCACAAAATTAATTTTTGTCTTTTAAGAATTTAATTCAGACCAACTGAAAAAAATGCCAATGAGAAAACATATGCAAAGTTTAACGTGCCATAAAATAAGGGTACGTTAACTTCTATAGAAACAGACAGACACATACACCATGCTGGAAGACTTGTGAGAATCATTTGAGAATATCCTGCTGTTGGAGTTATTATTTTGCCCAACTAGAACAAATGTGTGATTTTTGAAAAACCTGTGGCCACTCAGCAATAACATACAACTTTCGCATATTCACAATCCCAAATATTAACATCATTCGGCTAGCTAACATATTGTTGTAATTATCTCACCCTTTTCACAACTGATGGCTGCCTATCAGAAAGTGAGAGAGAGATCCAGTTTATTATAGAGAATTCAAGAGGCAGAAGATGTTTGGCAGAAATACAAATGTTAACTTTGGAATTGTTTGGTTTTTACAGTAAACATCTAAGGAAAGAAGTTCTTTTCCAAGAAAGATTTTCCAGGAAAGATCATGGTTGAGAGAATAGCTTTAGACATCATCAAATGACAGCTATTACTTAAATCTCTGCTAAAGGATTTGCTCTTCAAAAAAAAAAAGAAAAAAGAATATGAATAAGGCAAAAAAAAGAAAGCCAAGGGTTAATAATTAAAATATTTTACAAAACTGTCAGTAGCTTAAATTGTATAGACATGAAATAGGGGTAGTGATGTTTGCAAAAAAACACTGACATTGCACTTGGGTTTATGTTTAGAAAGGAGCAACCAGCTTTTTACTGCTCTGTGAAAGATTGCCCTTAGCACTTTTGAATATTCAAGAGTCAAAATGAATGACACTTGTGAATCTTAACATTCAGCTTCACTTAGTCAAGGTACAAAAGATAGTACACACAAATCTACTGAATTACCAGGTCATGTATTTTAAAACCATTAGTCATTTCTGTGATCACTATGATTATGATAATATGGCTTATGATAATTCATTTAGAAAAGTTGCAACTATAACAAAAGAGAAAAAGCAATTTTTGAATTTCCAAAATGTGGTATAGTAATGAGAATTAAGAATATATATATTCCTATTTCTATAATCCGATTATCATTCAAAAGAGTACCTTTCACATATCTGACCATACCTCAATCTATCTTGATGCTGAGAATTAATATTTAATAAAACCGTTCCATTTATTTGTGGAAAAAAGAAAAGAGACTAAAAAGGGTACATTTTTAAAAGTAATGTTGCAACTCATTTATAGGCTGAGGAGTACACTGAAATTGTGTGGGCTCATTATGCTTTTCAGAGAACCATGGACTCTATGAAGTTGCAAGCTTTTCTAGACTGTGGCCTTTTGCCATCTATTTAATGGCATTCTTGAGTGTCTGACCAAACCAAGCTCTATTGTAGCTATTTCATACACACATTCTTCAGTAGTTACCTCGAGACATTGAGAGAGACAGAGAGACAGAGGCAGAGAGGGAGAAAGATGAAAATTTTTAAAGAGGAAAGGAGAAAAACAACTATAGAAAATGAAAATGACAAAAAATAAAAAATAATTACGTGGTATGCAAAGTTTGGTCTTGGGCACTTACGAGAGAAATCACATAATAAGAGAAACTACTGTTTATTTAGAGCATTCTGCTCTTGGAACTTTTTAGCTCAATTTAATTGCTGCTTTAGTTCTTGTAAGATACAAGAAATTAAGCTGTTTACTAAAGGCATTAGAATAATTACAGATTTATGTTATACGCTTTAAATCTGAATGCCTGTGCCCCATCCTCCTGCTTTTGAATCACTGTAGTTCCATACTACTTTTCTCCTTCAGAAGCTTTAGTTCAGTTCAGGACATGCAATGTTTTCCTAAATTCATAGAAGCAAAATAAAAGGAAAGTATTTTTGAATATATAAAGCCCTTAAGATGAATTTATATAAGTAGATAATTTAGGTAAAAATTAACAGTTCCCTCAATTTAGTTTGTTAATGTTCTGAATTCTCCAAGACATGACTAAATTTAAGTTCAAACATGTTGCTTTTATAAGAATTACGTTAGATTACTAACTTTATGACTGTGGATGCTGTATTTCCAGTGTTTAATTTTGTGGATTATGTGTGTGGCTCTTTGCCTACCCCCCTACTGTTCTTAACAGTATTGTTTATCAACATAACTCTTTGCATGGAACAAAATATTTTAAAGATTTTCAATTGGTTTATTGTGCTAATTGCAATTGTTTTTGCATAAGAAAAATTAAATTATCTTAATAGGAACATATTATTACAGATGATTGTGCAATTTTCCAGAATTTAATGATTAAAAGCTCATCAATACCAAAAACATGTGCCTGAAGAACAAATAATGAAAAATCTAACACAATATCATCACATTTAAGGATCTTTAATAATAATGATGTCCATTGTTATTTGGTTATAAAAAAGAGAGAGAGAGATTAGTATTAAATGTTTGATTTTGAATGAGTAGATAGTTTGAGTTTGAATGTTTAAACTCATATCTAAAATGAAACAATGATAAGGAAGGACATTTGTTTTACTATACTTGATACTCCATCTCTTAAATAATTTAAACATCATGGCCTATCATGTGAATAAATGACGTATTTATGCATACTTAAATTCCAGTAACCAAGTTTTAAAAATTATGTTGAATTTTAAAGCAATTATAAAATAAATTAAAATTACAAAATAAGAATAGTTTATTACACACAATAGTTATTTTACACAATCTTTAAAACAATTGTTTCTTTGAAATGTTTCTATTCTTATATTTGATCATGGTCTTTGTGTATTGGTTTAGGACTTCAAGACACCATCTGGATTGTATTTCAAATGATGTGTTTGTGGGTCTTGCATAGATTGTTTATATAGTAGAATAGCTGAAATCATAAACGAATATGGCATGTAGAGTATACCATTCAAGAAAAGACAGTGGTTATTCCCAGAATGTGCTTATTAACTCCTTCAGACTACTTAATTTTATTTAATTTATTTTATTATACACATTTATACACTGGTGCAGCTAAAACAGAGTCACACTATCAAGTAAAGACAAATCCAAGATCTCGAGAAGCGATGGGTCAATTTACATAAGGAGCCTGGGAACTCTTTTGGAGTGAGGACACTTTTAGCATTTCCCTCAGAATGTCTATGACCAAGATCCAAAGGCAGGAGAAAACAACAAAAATGCTAAAGGGAACTCACAAGAAAGGAACGAGTGTGAGATGGTGACGCAAGCTACAGGAAAAGACAAAGAGCGATCAGGGAGAGGTCTAACTTCTGCCATATGAGATGTTACACGTTAGTCTTTATTCTGGGCAACTTGGAGGAACTTTGATCAGTCTGGCTTGACTTGTTCTCTCCCTCCAGGAGTTTATAGATAAGTACCGGAGAACAGTGTACACCTTACTTCTAGACGAGGTAGGATAGGTGTTCAAGCAACTTGTAGCTAAAGGGCATCGTAAAGTCAATTTGAGGATATCTGAAAAGCCGTCATGGAAGAGACAGCACTAAAAGATGGGTAAGGTTTAAACATGAACAGATGTTGTATAAAGTTTTAACACAGATTTTACGATGGAAGTTCACAAGTTGCCCAGATGAGACAGAGTATTTCTAGATCTAATAAGAGCTGATTACCTGTATCTTTTCAAACACCACTTTAAATCTGTTAGGATTCTTCTTTTTCCCTATAACTACTTTTCCCATTTAATATTTTGCTATATATTTTTTACTTCCTTTTAACATCTGCTTTTAGAGCCACCATTTAAATAATTTTCTTAGCATGTTTTTATGTCATTTGGATTACTCTTCGGGATAATTTTTGTCCAGAAATTACGAATAGAATTTTCTTTATTGAGGTTTAACTTACTATTACTTCTTCATTCTCTAATCTACAGAGTAAGACCAGCGATGAAGATTAACATTATTGGCTTTCCAAACTGTCTCAAATACTTTATTAGATTCTTCATATTATCTGGAACTAAATACCACAAAAAAAGACAAACAGGTATGAATTTTTATCCCCATTCAACAGATGAGAACAGTAAGCTTCAAAAAGTTTGAGTACTTTCATTTCCTAAATGTTTGAATCAAGTCTCCATGTTGCCAAAATCCTTGCACTGTCTGGCAGATCCAACAGAACTAGTCTTAGAGACCATGGCTTAGCTCCCCAACCCCGCCAAAGTATGTCTGTCTGGGAGCATTTTAAAGCTTCAGGTTCTTACAGTATATGTTGAAGGAATAGAGGAAGAAAGGAATCTATTTTTACATATTACTCCATGAATATCAGATGATCAATCTGCCAGAGTATTGTTTCTATAAGATAAACAATGAGCTAAACTTTTTAAATAAACGCTGTGCTTTGGAGAGGTCAAAATACTGAAAATGATGACCCAGCAGGCAATCTTCCTTTTCCTTTTTTGCTTCTTCAAAGCACTTTGTGTGGTAATATATGTCCTTGGAGACACTATGCGTTTAATATTTAGTCTATTTAATATTTTAACTCAGAGCTATTGTTCACTGAGGCAGAAATTTGGATACTGAAGTCATGCAGCTAAATGCTATTAGAAGGCTAAAGACTCTACTTAAAATTTCAGAATGTTGATCTGGGCCATTTGCAGTGAATTGCAATGAAGTAAAAAATTCATTTTAGAGTTTGCTGTATTAGATATAATGGAACTACTTTGCTCAAGAGTGAAGAGATAGTTTAAATATTTTTTTGCTTCATATACAATCTCACTGTTTTAGAGTGATTTTATTATATAATGCTTATCTCTGAAGTTTTAATGTGACAATGACATTTCATTAGTTTCAAATGCCTACTTCTCAGATTTATTATTACACAACTCCTCCGCCCACCCCAACCATTTCTCCGGAACTGTACTTCCTTTTAGGTGTTCTTTTTCTGACTTCTGCTGGAAGATCGTTCTTGACCTCTCACTGAAGTGTCAGTGCTATGCTGCGACAGCTGTCACATATTTACAGCTCTGCTTTGAAAGCTTTGTTGTACAATATCTCTTTACTTCACCCTTTTCCGTGTTTTTGACGCCAGTATCTCAGCTTAATCCATTGGTGACGTGAATCGAATTAGTTCTCCTACATGTGAAAAGGAGAAGTGAAGGGAAAAGACAGGATAACCCAAACGTGAGAGAGGTTTGGAAAATTATTGGTTGTGTATTCCCAAGGTACAAATTGGGGATTCTTCTCAGAACTGGGTTGATGGGATTTTTACATAGCAATTGTAGCTCCTTTTAGCTTTGTTACGCATCCAGTTTCAAGGATAGCACAATAGTTTACATGTAATCTGCACTGTTAAGCTTTTGAAGAATTAATAACAGTAATGAAACCATAATACCATAAGGTCAAAGATTTATTGTGTTTATTTTATAAACAGGAAACCTGGGAAGAGTCCATAATGTATTCTAAGATATTTTCTGAAATGGCATTTGAAGTTCGTCTTGCTGTTTTTGTCATCCAGTCAATCAATAAGTTGTTACGGAGCTCCTCTCATGATGATTTATATGGACAATCTATAATTAACACCTGCTTCTGCAGTTTCCTCTGTCACCAGATGCATTTCACATTCCCATGAGGCAAACTACGCATTACTTATTCAAATACATTTATAAAGTGTGTGTGTGCTAAATGCAGTGAACTATAATGGTTAACAAAAAACCTCTGGCCTCAAGGATCCTATGATTTTATTAGTGGGTTTTTTTGACAAATTTTACTCAATAGATTTTGTTTCGACGTTGTTTAATGGTGCTTCTCAAAAATACCCATATATTTATTATAGTCTGTGTTTATGTATGTAAACTTCAGCGTTCCAAACTCTTTTCTCTCTTTTTTATCATGTGAACTGAAACGACGTACTCCACCTAGCCTACCTCCACATTAAAATGATTTATTCTCTGACTATCTTTACAAATACCATTCTACTATCATCATCAATATGATTTATGAGTTTACTATTCTGGGCAACTCTTGCCAAGGTAGATACAAATTGCTCATTTTATTGCTTATTTCAGGAGCTTCCCCAAACCCCATTTAAATAAACATCAAGATGTTCAACTTTTCCATATACAGAATCACATAATTAACACTAAGCTATTCAAACCTTATCAAGTTGTTTAAGTATTATTTTTGGGAAACCAGGATTTAACAATCTTGCAGGGCTACAGAGAACCAATCAAGCTCGCTTTATCACCATGGACCAAGTGATACAGAAACAGAACTTTGCAGGGCCTTGGGCATCTGGCTTGAGTGTCTTCTATGGCATTATAATTATAATTAATTAATTTTATTGGCTTCAAGTTTCAATGTTTTCTATCAATTCTCCTCAAATACTAAGTTAATTTTGTATCCTTGAGTTTTTAAAAAAAAATTTATAAAAAAGGGTTAAGTTTAAAAAAATCCTTTGATTGTCAGATCAGATGGGAAACTTCTTTGTGCAAAGGACATTATTATCTATTGCTTTCTGTCCTTGTCCTTTTTATTACATGACTACAAGAGGAAAATACATAGGATAGAAGGTAGACATAGACTCCAACAAGTCCACTCCTCAAGCCTGGTGACTGAAAGATTCAAAGGTTTCTTGTACTAGCTTTCCTCAGTCAAACTTTACCTATGGTCACTTAGCAAAAATTTGTAAAGATTTTCCATAATCTTGTTTGGTTTTGTCTGTGAACTTCTGACTCTAAGAGAGATCTTTTTAACAATACTTTCTTTCTGACAGAAAATGAAAATTAGTTGGATGAACAGTTGACAATCGCCCAGCCATTAGGCTGAGGGTCTCAAGGCATGGGGTCATAAGCAGCTCTTTTAGCAACTATTTAAATATGTCTGTTTCAGTCTAAATTTTAGTCTGTGCTCCTTTTAGAACAACTATTAGTTCATAAATGTATTTCTACTATAACCCATATTTGTTATACTTATCTTTTAAATGGTGTAATTTCACCATTGATAATTTAAGGTTATGACGGCCAATTTGGGAAACTTGATAGAAACTTTGTTACTTCACCGATGCCTTAGAATTGTAAAGGAGCAAAATTTGAAATATTTAAATGCAAGTGTTTACTTCAGATGAAGGTCAGCACTGTTTGAAATAAAAGTGTATAATATAATATTTTTTGTTCAATTCACAGAGTTGTGAAACCATCACCACAAAATAAGTCTAAAGTATTTTTATCAGCCCCCCCCAAAAAACCCCTGTTTGTGGCTGGCCCTCTTCTTCCCCCACCCCATTCTCACCCCACCACGAACTGACTCCCCCAGCCCTTAGGCAAATACTAATCTATTTTCTATCTCAATAGAGTTGCCTATTTTGGTCATTTCATAAAAATGGAATTATACAACGTGCAGTATCTTGTTACTATTTCTTTTCTCATGGCATTTTTAAGATTCATCTATGTTGTAGCATGTATCAGTATTTCACTTCATCTTGTTGAATAATATTTCATTGTATGGGTAATCACAGTGTGTTTATCCATTCATCAGTTCATAGATACTTGTATTGTTTCCACTTTTAGGCTATTAAGAACATTTAACTGTGAACATTTCTGAACAATTATTTGTGTGGACATAAGTTTTAATTTCTCTTGCATTTATACTTAGGAGTGGATTTGCTGGTTCATACGCTAACTCCATCTTTACCATTTTGAGGAAGTGAAAAACTATTTTCCAAAGTGGTTGAAACCTTTTACATTCCTAGTAGTAGAACACAACCATTCCCATTTCTCCACACCTTCAATAACACTTGCTATGGTCTGTCTTTTTGATTATATGCATCCAAATGTATGTGAAATTTTATTTCATTGTGGTAAAATTCTCATTCCTCTAACGATTAACGATCATAAGTATCTTTTCACATCTTTGCCCTTTATATACACTTTCTTTGGAAAAATGTCTATTCAAGTCATTTGTCCATTTTTTAATGAGATGATATGTCTTTTGTATTATTGAACTGTAAGAGTTCTTTAAAAAGCAGCATTTTAGGAGCCATTTTACAATTTGTGCTTCTTCCTTATAGTTTTAAACTCAAACCTGCGTCTATATAGTTTACAATTACAGATCTGCTTTCTGTAGTGTCCTTTTGGATCAAAATAACCATGTTCATTTGCTCTTTCCCAGAGAAATCATCAATCTATATATACTCTTATGGTTCTATGTGGTCTATTGAAGTTCCCTGTTATACTCACAAGTTTTCAACTGGAACTTCAAGGACCTTAAATTTCCATGTGATTACTCTTATCCAGCAAGTGGATGATCTTTGTTATACTCTAATGATGACGTGAAGTCTAAGACTGATTCCATCTATCAACTTAATGTTTTATCTCCCATAGGGCATATGGTTTCCAAAGGAAAACTATAATTTTGTCAAAGTAAAGTGGATTATCTAAGACAAGGTTTATCCTAGGAAGTTAAACCCTTAGTCTGAAAGACCATAAGCTGTTTAAAACATCCCCAGGCCTGTAACTAAAAGACAATTAAGAGAATTACTGTGTCTAATGAGTATTACAGGCAACGGATTACCAAGTGATCTGAAATTACCATACCACTGTATGAATCAATCATGTTCTCAGCAACTCCACCTCTTTCTGGAGAACCTCAGTATAAATAGAACTTTGAGGGTTAACATCAGCTCTTCAATCACCTTACTCTCTCCTGACCATGAACAATTGTAATAACAACAAAAATACATCCACTTGAACCCCAATTTCATCATCTCCATTCTTCCTATCTAATTTATATGCAATGGTTAAATACTTTAGTCACTTTCAGTACCCTGACCTCCCTTGCTCCTCGTTCCTCATTTGGATAAAAACCCAAACACCACTGAACACACTCTTCTGTTAGTTGCTTGTTTGCATTCAAGCAGCTGAGTTCTGTTGGAGTAAATCATAATGAATGGCAGATAGTACTATTAATTCATCATTACCAATATCAAAATGGTCAAGGGCAATCCATACTAATTGTCTTCATGAATTTTTACTTTCATACTCCACAATAGAATTGTGAATAACCATAAACTCCCTCACACATTTTTAAGTTGATGACTAAAATTTCCCTACATTTATAAAATTGCAAAAATGTAATTTCTAGCACATTGTCTATTATATATAAACATTAAGTAAAATTTTATCAAAACTTTAGGTCAGCAGATTTATCTTGTTCAGGATACAGAAAATATCCACTATATGAACTAATTGGCAAGCCAGCCTCCATAATCAAACCAATTAGCTAAATCAGACTTAGTGTCAGAAAACATCTTCCTTCATTTTTCAAAGTCAAATAGAAATGTTAATATGTGCCTGAATGACAAGCACATTACTTCTGAATTCTAATTATAATATAACTGTCTACTAGTGAGAGCACGGAGTCTTGCCATGACTTTGTCATTTTTGTGAAATCAATTGCTATCCCCTTCAATATTTCTTCTTTAGTTCTAATGGGAATCTTATTTAGAAGCAAATCACTTCTTTGTGTCCTAGAAGGCTTCAGAAATGCCTGATAAGTTTGATAATGGGTATGTTGTGTTTCTTGTTTGTTTTTGTTTTGTCTTGTCTTTCGTAGAGAGAGAAGGGTGATTGTGGAAGAGGAGGTGGGAAAGCAGAGTTGAAAAAGGCATCACTTCAGGCAAATCTCTTGTAGGAAAGAGTACGTATAGGAATATTGAGATTCTGGAAATTGATTCACTTAAAATCATCTCTGCCAACCTACTGCCTTAAAAGTCTTGGATTTACCTTGATACCTATCCTTTGAATGTCACAGGAATCCTAATACTTTCTTTTGTAAATCTACCAACAATGAGTATTTTGAGCCTGTCCTACCCTCAGACCGCTACCACCAGTGGTGACTCTTTTCTATGTAAATTTGTTATTTATTTATTTATTTTTTTGAGGAAGCTTAACCCTCAGCTAACATCCCCCACCAATCCTCCTCTTTCTGCTGAGGAAGATTGGCCCTGCACTAACAACCATGCCCATCTTCCTCTACTTTGTATGTGGGACACTTGCCACAGCATGGCTTGATAAGCAGTGCACATGTCTGTGCCCACCTGGGATCCGAACCAGCCAACTCCGGGCCGCCAAAGCAGAGTGCATAAACTTAACTGCTATGTCACTGGGCCGACCCCTATGTTAGTTTATTTTTGAATGTGATTTAAAATATTCAATGGAATATTTTTCTTGTGTAGGAATTGTACTCTTTTAAAGTTATCTTTGAATATCTCTTCGTTCATTTGACATACATTATTTTATTACTCAATATCTACAATACATCTTTATTTCAATATTGGTAATTTTGGAGAGTTACAAATCTCCCTTACCTCTATAAAAATCAAAACATTATTTCATTGAATTTTACACTTTGAAAATGCCTAGAAGAATATCATCTCCCTTTCAGGAAGTTACACCAAGAAATTCTTGCATTACATTGTTTCATAAAAGAAAAAAGATTGAGATACAAGATATTAAGTGAGGTATTATTTGATCATGTTTTCAGTAAAGGTGCAACTAAATCCACACATATCGACTCCTTCTCTGTCTACTGTAGCACATCCAAGACTTTTATCCTACGTCAAAAGAGCAATTTTCAAAGTACATTTTCCAAAGTCAATTCATGGCATTGGAGGATGGGTGAAATTTATTGGCCAGAGTTGAAATTTTATGGACCTACTGAATTGACTTGATGGATTAGGAAACCCAAGACTATTAAAATACAAAATTTTTAATAGAACATATTAAGTAAAAATCCTGGGAAAAGTTCATATAAGCAAAAGA